TCACTTTCACCGGTTCACGTTTCGCTGTGACCTATCACGGGATGGTTCATAATAAAGAACAAGCTGTGATTGGCTGAGGCGCGGGCCGCCATATTGGATCCCGTTCGAATCTACCTCGCTAGCAGGATCGGGTTCGGTGGATCGAGATTCGTGGATCCGACCAAACAAACAGTCAGATCAACGAATCCATTGGATCGAGATCTGTGGATCCGACCAACAAACAAACGCTTCCATAAATCAATGCCACCAATGCAATAAATTTATATGCTCTGATCTGATATTGCCACTGATCATTGGGAAGGAACGTGGGTTGTATAATGAGTTGAGATACCTGTACTATATTGAATCCCGTTCGAATCCACCTCGCTAGCAGGGTCGGGTTCGGTGGATCGAGATCCGTGGATCCGACCAAACAAACAGTCAGATCAACGAATCCATTGGATCGAGATCCGTGGATCCGACCAAACAAACAGTCAGATCAACGAATCCATTGGATCGAGATCTGTGGATGGAACAAATGCGCCCATAAATCAATGCCATCAATGCAATAAATTTATATTCTCTGATCTCACATTGCCACTGATCATTGGGAAGGAACGTGGGTTGTAACATGGTTGTAATTAGATACAATAATGTAACCCAACAAGAGTAGGATCTAGGTTGTAATACAATCCAATGCAATCTAATAAAAATTGTAATCAATACTAAATAAAATATATTGAAAAAAATAATTAAATATTGAATAAAATGCCATCAATTATCAAAATGCTGTCGTACGCGACCCCTGCCAATCCAACCGGAATTTGATCCAGTGCCAGCAATAAATTTATGGAATGAGCAGGGTGTCAGGTATAAGGTCAAGGAGGCCGCACTTTTAAAATAAAGATACAATGCTCGGAAAACGCATTGGAAATTGTTGAGAATAATGGCGCTGATGAGAAGAACAGGCGCGTGCACAAACAGACACGATGCCGACGTGTTGACGGCTGATGATGACGAAACAGGAAGTGACAATGGGGACTGGATGGACTCTGACAATGACATGGAAACGTGTTTCAAACAATTGATTGAGTAACTACTCTAATTAATGGCGTTAATAAAACAAATGTGGAAATTGTTGAAGTACTTCTTTTTTACTTCTTGTCACTAAGGTATAGTACGGAGTCCCCTAAACAAATATTTGTATTGGCCACTCATCGTGCATGTTTCATCGGGCACCACCTGACTCTGTCGCCCTATTGAAGTGACATCATGTATCTTCATAGACTTGTACCGTTTGCAAAAAAGACTTGCAGTTCTTTTCTCAAAAGATTTGCTCTGAATCTTCATGGTCAGAATGCATAATAGAGCACCATTTTAGTGTCAATATCCAAGAAGACGAATCCCGAACTTCGGCGCTTCTTGCCATAAGCTGGGCCCCTAATATTTTGACTTTAGGGGCCCAGCTGGCTACTACAATTTTTGGAAAGTTTTCATCACTGAAAATACTGTAAAATAGCTAGCAGGAGTTCAGGTATAGTGCTTATACCTAATTATTATGAAACAGTATGGTCGATGAGGTCTTTTTATACTGTGTGTGTGAAATGTTGAGTTCCAGCCCCAATCAATAGTTTGAAAAGGTGAGTTAGGGTTATTGTATGAGTCCAAATTATGAGGAGCGTTTTGCATTTAGAGATGTTTTCTTTATTACAATTTATTTAACCAAACAACTTCCCCAGTGTCATCAGTTTTAATCATTCAACCAAAAAAGATACCATATTCCATAATTATAATTTGTTGATATGAAATACGTAGGTATTTTGTTGTAAGTTTATTATTATGATTAAGTTATAGGACCATTATTACTAAACTTATATTATTTAACTAACTTGAACCATACTATATAGCCCTGTGTATACATACTTGTATCCAATATGTTTCGCTCAATTAAATCAAATTAATATAATCGATTAATTGTCCATCAGGTAGTCCTGGCCCTGGGTGACTACATGAGCGTACAGTGTCACTCGTGCATCGGTGGTACAAACATTGGCGAAGACATCCGCAAGCTGGACTACGGACAACACGTCGTCTCTGGCACACCGGGAAGAGTGTTCGGTCAGTATACCTGTAGTAACGATGAATGTAGTTTACATGTCGTTTTCATATCTATTCAGTCAGTAGGATTGGCATCTGTGTTATCGCTGCACTATGGTCATACCACCTCACCAAGATCACAAAGTAGCATTCTAAGTAATAATCTCTTATTAAATTATCTATTTTAAAATGCTTGGTAAATTTGAATGAATGGCATTTCCTTCTCTTCCTTAAGACATGATACGGCGGCGAAATCTCCGCACTCGTGCTATCAAGATGCTCATTCTTGACGAAGCTGATGAGATGCTAAACAAGGGTGAGTTCAGTTTCCATGAATAAATAATAAAAAATGCCAGCATTTTCTTAAAGGCAACTTTACAGAATCAAAATTAATTTTCTGTTTGCTCATGCATAAATTGCTAAATGTGATGTGGTGATATAACTCTATCGTAATGGGTTCACCTGCATGTATTCTTTAAAGTAGAATGGAAATATATTTGAAATGTGTAATGTATTGCAAGCACTCTGCTGTTAACTGTTATATGATAGTAGTGCAATATGATATATACTCTGTTCTTAATTGCATTTCTGCATATCTTTATGAAATAAAATTAAAATGCATTTAAACTAAAATAAAATCTGTGTAAGGATCAATCACACTAACTCCCAAAATTATCTTTTGTAGATGATGGTCCATTCTATAAAGTTTCTGTAAGTAACCACCATTCAAGGGGAATGCTAAGTGTCTTAGAGACAGACATTCATTCTGTAGAGGTGTCTGTTGACAGATTTTTGATCGTTGCAGGATTTAAGGAGCAGATCTACGACGTGTATCGATATCTGCCGCCAGCCACACAGGTGTGTCTCATCTCAGCCACTCTGCCTCACGAAGTCCTTGAGATGACGTGCAAGTTCATGACAGACCCCATCAGAATCCTCGTAAAACGGCAAGTCGGAATTAAGATGAAACTGCTGCTATTCCTCTGGAAAAGTGATGTCCAAAATATACTTTTGTATATATTTTTTTAGCTCTTGTAGTAGGTTAAACCTGCCCATCACTCACACTAGACGGATTGCTTAATTTTGAATCCTACTAGATCATTAATGCAAGAGATGGTGTTGAGGGGCAAGTGCATGTCAGAAACCTTGAGGAATCCTAATGTAATATAGTCCACTGGGAAATGTTCCAAAACGCATGGACAGCTACGGAAAATTACCCAGCTAATTACTGTCCGTAGCAAAATATACGGACTCCTACGAAATAACGATGAACTCCTATGAAATTTATACAGACTGCCAATTAACTCTGCCTGATATCAGTGAGTCTGTGATTATTACTACAAACTTCGACCATTTGCTAGCAAGCGTGGCGCCCGCAGACCAGCAGCGCGAGCCTTTGATGCAGCGGAATGATAACAGGTGCAGATAGCTCGGGCTATTTTTTTAGTATTTACCATCGCTCGCTGCATTAACAGGCAGGGTGGCGGTACTGACGCCCGGGCGCAGGCGCATGGCATTCAGAAGCAATTGTCTACTAGTGGAGCGAGGCAACGACTCGCGCGCTGGCTGGTATGGCTGGTATAAACTGGTGCAGCGCTATAAGCATTGTACGTGTGGCTGGCGTGTTGACACAATGGTTTAAGGTAGTATCGCACTGGGCTGCGACTGTTGGCCACAAATTGCCAATGGCATTCGCGAGGGAGATTCCAAAATGTGTCAAATCGTTTGCAGGGGTTCTCAATTTCCTCGCGTGAGTCGCAGGGCCTCGCTCTCGTGTCGCTGGAATTTTGAACATGTTCAAAAAATTCGCGCGACAAATTTTTCTCTCAAAATAGTCACAGAGTCGTCGCGGGTGTCTCGAACCATTCTCAATTTAGTTTCCGTGAGATAGAAAGTGCGAGAAATGTGAGACAACTTTGTGAGGGGTTGGCGACCTATGAAATTAAATTGTGGGTCCTTATCCAGCAGCTTCTGCACTTCTTCTCTGAGGTCTATCTCACTTGACGTCTGATGACAAAATGATTGCTGGACTGGGGCCCCGTATTTATATGGTCCAGATTTCTCAATTGTCACACATAACTGTCGCGCGACTGTTGCACGACATTCGCGTGACAGTCGCAAGTGCAAAAAATTCGCAATTTTGTTGCGTGAATGTCACGCGAGTGTCGGGCGACATGTATGCGAACTCCCGTCGAATTTTGGCCCAAATTTCGCCGCAAACGTGTCGTAAGTACCAATTCAGTGTGATTCCAAGTGAAAATTGTCGCTAATTCCCGTATTTTCTCGCAATTTTGTGTCTCCAACTAGTCGCGAGCTGTTGCAGCCCAGTGAGATACTAGCTTTATATTATGTACTGTGTATAGTATATATATATATATATATATATAACTGTCGTTATGTTTGTATATAAAAATATATTAAGCATTTTATATAAAATATTTGGCTTATTTTTAATTGCCGTGAGAGAACTTGTAATACGATCAAATTCGGGCATCAATTGATGCAAGAAGAGCAACACGGCACGCGCGTTTTATATAGACAATTCTCAATACGACACAATTACACAGGCACGCGATTACCATTGTGTCAACACACCAGCCACACGTACAATGCTTATAGCGCTGCACCAGTTTATACCAGCAAGAGCATATAAAGTAGGTAAAAAGGGGTATAAAGAGCATATATATAAAGATTTATACGCTCTTGATACCAGCCGTACCAGCCAGTGCGTGAGTTGTTGCCTTGCTCCACTAGTAGACAGTTGGTTCCAGATGCCGTGAGCGCTGCCACGCTGCCTGTTAACGCAGCAAGCGATGGTAAATAGCCGGAGCTATCAGCACCTGTTATCATTCCGCTGCATCAAAGGCTGGCGCTGCTGGTGTGCGGGCGCAAGTTTGTAGTAATAATCACAGACTCGCTATATCAGGCAGAGTTAATTGGCAGTCTGTATACATTTCGTAGGAGTTCGTCATTATTTCGTAGGAGTCCGTATATTTTGCTATGGAAAGTAATTAGCTGGGTAATTTTCCGTAGCTGTCCGTGCGTTTTGGAACATTTCTGTGTTTAGTCCGTATTTTCTCCGACTTTCTAGTTCAAAGTGGTAATGAATCTTAGTATTAATGTAATATGTATAATTACCTAACTTAATAGATAAAAGATCCTAACATTGAAAGCTCCTAATCTTATATAGATTGATGAATCCCACGTTCCTCACGTGATAAGAGTTGGTAATGGTGCTGTTGATGTCGTCTTTCTTCAGTGATGAGTTGACACTGGAGGGCATCAAGCAGTTCTTTGTGGCAGTCGAGCGAGAGGAGTGGAAGTTTGACACTCTGTGTGACCTCTACGACACGCTCACCATCACGCAGGCAGTCATATTCTGCAACACAAAGCGCAAGGTGACTTCAAACTCCATCGGTTATTATAATTCAAGTTAGCCATGCGGGATATCGGAGCAAAATCTTGAGTGCATTTTAATAGTTTATTATATTTTTATTATTATTATAATTTATATTTATAGTAATATTTATATTTATAATAATTATTATTTATATGAGAATACTAGTAGTATTCAAGTTCGCTAATTCACTTTAATATGTTGCTCTTGTGAATATCACCTTGTAACCACAAGTCATATTCTAACTGTAGCCTTTAAGATTGTGGTGTGATGCACGTGTTGTACTAAAAAAAGTTTAAAGAAAGATATAAAGTGTTCTGAGTAATTTCTCATATTTATTTGCAATGAGTCTGACTGTTGTTCACTTCGACCAGGTTGATTGGCTGACGGAGAAGATGAGAGAAGCTAATTTCACAGTGTCGTCGATGCATGGAGACATGCCGCAGAAGGAGCGAGACAACATAATGAAGGAATTCCGATCCGGATCCAGGTATGACAATAGTTAATTGATAAGCGCATGTCACGGCTTAAGAACCGCTCTGTTGATATAACTCTGTTGCATTCACAACACAGTAGAAGTTACTCGAGGTAAATGCTACCTGGTATCATTTACCTCAGTTGAATTTATGTGACAGCTAGAACGTAGAAAGAACTCGGTCGTATTTTATGTGCAGTGGCCATATTTAACATAGGTAGCATTTAAACCGATATTATACTGTATTTCAAGGGTTATAAGGAGGTTTTTAGGAGTTTTTCTTTCCCGGTATGCTGAGCAAATGGTTTTTAGTTGCCTATGGTAGGGTGGCTTTGGAAGTTGAGTATTAGCTGGCTGAGCCACCGCTCGTCTATATTTAACCGCACAACTAACTTAATTCGGCAGGTAAAACTATTAACTTTGGTGTTAATTAACAATTCTGTGAAGAAGGTATTCATAATAAGTTACTGGTGGTAGCTATTGTGGCATTGGGATTAATATGTATTTTTCTTAAGCGTAGATAATTAAGCCCACCGATCCCGCTAATTTTTTGGCACTGGCCTGTGAGAAAAAGTGCTGCCTAATTTGTTATGACTGATTGTCGTTCTGGCAATGGCCGTCTGGAGTCTAAACTCGGTGCATGACGCTGTGTTTCAGCCGCGTGCTCATCACGACTGACGTGTGGGCGCGTGGAATCGACGTGCAGCAAGTGTCGCTCGTCATCAACTACGATCTCCCCAACAACCGAGAACTGTACATCCACAGGTAAGCAATACTGATGCAACTAGCGGGCACATCACACAGAGCGGCTATGAAGGCATCTTGCTCACACGACTAATTCACAGGCTGCACAAACGTACAACTTATGCAGCCGAACAAAGATCTCAGCATCCTAAATTGGCATTATACGTTATATGAGAATCAGATACTTAAAGGGATCGTTTACTCTAGGTTCTAGGGTTATTTTCAGTTAATTTAGGTTAAAATTACGCTACATAAAAAGTTTCATGGTTCAATCACAATTAGAAATATTATTTAAAAATGTTTTAAAACTAACGACTACAGTTTGATTAAAACGACGGCGGCGCCACTCAAAGCGCACGATCTGATAAGTTGCGCAAAACCACTTCAGCCAAGGGCTACAGACCGAGGGTGTTTCTTATGTATTAATTTAAAAGTAAAAGGATTGTAATATCTTATAAACGACATATAGTTTCAGTTATATTATGGATAAATTTGTCCTAAAATGAACATCGTTCGGTTAAATAGCATTTAGGTATGAATATAATTGTACCTTTGTGATTAGCCCTCAGTCTGTAACGTGCAAAATAAATTGGCAAATACAGAACTTTTTCAGGGTGGCAGCACGGTCGCTGGTGTCATGGCGCCGTTCAAATTTCGTAGCGTTGATGTGTAATTAATTATAACAATTAAATTAGGTACGGTATTTTATGAGTTATGTCTCTTTATTCGCAAAAATTTTAAATTCAATTGTGCGACTTGAATTTTAGGCAGTTTTTTTAATTTTTCTCAGTAAATATGAAACTTAAAGAAAAATCCTGAATCATATCTAACTGCCAGCTCGTTGAGTAAACCGGCAAGTGCATCAATTGTTATATTAAAAAATACATTAATTGCCGGTTGGTTGGCAAAGTGATAATGCTGAAGATTAAGGATGTATTGCCACTTAAACAACTCTGTTAATTATGTAAAGCTTGAAAGATCGACCAGTCTTAGTGTCGATTGCAATACTCAATGTCAATCTGTAATGATAGTAGACACACATCTTATTGCTGCTGTTATTTGTTGGTGGGCTGGGTGGAATCTTCATATATTAATCTTCTGTTATCATTATCATCATCATTATTAATGTTATTATTATTATGCAGAATCGGTCGATCAGGTCGGTTTGGCCGTAAGGGTGTCGCCATCAACTTTGTGAAGAACGATGACATCAGAATTCTGCGAGATATCGAGCAGTACTATTCCACACAGATCGATGAAATGCCCATGAACGGTAAGCCAGATGTTTAATTTTGCATTTTTTAGGACAAGGCAGGTGTTCGCTTGACCTTAATTGGCAACTTTCTGGGCACCATGGCAAATGTCCCCGTCACATGGCAAACGTGGTGCACCACTGCAACTTGGTTTTTCCAACTATATCCTAGACGAAGGGATGCCTGCACAACATGTAATTTATGGGAAGTGCATGTAGGAAAGATTTGGTACTTGTTAGCCAGATTTGTGAGGCACCCTGCCAAGTAATGGGGCAACCACAGTACTAGCTACCAGTGCCGTGGTGAATTTTTAACCCTGACAAGCCAGGTCGTCGTGGTGTAAGCAAGTATTTTTAGGTTTTGCATTTCCTCTTGCATGGTAAAACCCAACAGTTGTTTGGTAAATGAAAACTGTTGGGTTTAGATTCTGCTTACTTTATGCAACATGGCTTTAATATTTAATCTCTTGTCCAAATGTAATGTCAGACAATTGACAGCTTGGTGGGCTACGTGGCAAATAAGATTATAAACAGTGGGTCTAAATTGTTTTACGGCATGTGCAAATGTCACAAATAGGATTGAGAACTTCATATTCAAAAATAAAGCATACCATGCATGCCTGCGCACATTTTAGAGCTTTACTGCATCATTCCACTGCTTCTGATTTGAAAATCACCCATAGATCACGCGAAACTAACGAGCCGTTGATTCGTTTTATGTTATAGTCGCTGATTTGATCTAATGGCAATGAAAGTGAAGACCTACAAGTGACATCCACAAAGTTTCAAGAAGAAATCTGGAAGAGATGCTACATCACGATCACTATTCTTTTACCATAGTATGGCAGCATGTCATGTTACAATGGTAGCATCGGTGGAATTAAGTACCGTTCCGTGGAGAGAGCGGTGGGACGAGTTGTACAGTACTCTTATATTATGTGTTCTTTTTGTTTCTGCCTCTTCACATTGTGTAAACCTTGTATATGTAAATTGCAGCACAGTGCTTGTGCACAACGATGATGAAAAATAGCACCCGATTATATTAGTCTTTAGCAATGACAAGTAGTTATTGGAAATGTGGGTTAAAAAGACCTAGATGTCATAACTTTTATATCTGTGGAATAACTTTAAAACCATGTCCATATTTATGTCCAATTTCTAGGACGTGGTTCAAAGGTGTGTGCATCATGAACACTAGTGCTGTGGCCACTACCGTCAGCAGGTATATAATGTTTTACTGGTTTCAAACAAACAGCTGGTATGTCATTATGAATGTAGAATAACACACGTATTGGCAATTAAATAAGGTATAGTTAAAAATTCAAGAAGGTATGGTACATTTATGTCGTGAAAAAAAATACAAATGAAGCTCGGGTGTTCAAAATAAAAGCTTTTATTCAGTAGAAATGAATTTTTGAAATGCTTTTCTATTTATTGTAACAGCTAACATGATAAACTATTAAGCCTTAACACACTTGAAAATAAACACATTGCATGTGATTATACTGCCATGATTTCTAAACTGTCATGTAATGACTTGAGATCTTGCGAATTCAACGTTGGTTAGAGCTGCACTTACATCAGCACAATGGACAACACACCTGGGGTTAAAATTACCTGAACCTATCGTCACTAACAGCGTTGAGGTTAGCATGATGTGGCTGCAAAATTTAACGTCTATTTAATCATACATGGTGGGTGGTCGTACAATGTATAATCGGTTTGCAGAGCTACGTTATGGTACAACCGTTATTTTCAGTTTGAATTGTGCCAAATTGGTCACAACTTTTGTATGTATTTAGCAACACATAGTTCTATAAATGACTTCTCTAGATAAACCCATGATTCTTTAAAAGAATTTTTGTGTTCAAAAGAATAACTACATTATCTATGCCAACGTTTTTCTCTCAATTGAATTCAAATACAAATACACACATACAAAACTATCTATGCAGACATGCAACCTCTTACTAAAACGAAATCTTGATCGGTTTAGCCATATTCTGTTTAATATTGCAGTAAAACATGTTTCACGTTCACGAACAGTTGTATCTTGTGTTAAAACATAAATACTTGATTACGTAGGAATGAACAATTTCCTATGTCTGAAACAACGGTGATTAAAACTGGCTACGTGCTTGCTAAAAAAGTACATATCAATACAGGTTTTACCGGACCTTAGTATTGAATGGTGGGAGAATCTACGTTATATTTATTGCATAGAAAAAACTAGATTATGCTCAGGACACTCATTCCATTTCGAAACAACATCAGTATCAGAAATTGCAGCATGTTTGCCAATACTGTATTCAGTAATAACAACATGTTTGAGAACACTTCAGAAATACCAAAATGCTTGGGAATACTGTACTCAGGAATATCAGCAGGTTTTGGAACAACACTGTATTCAGGAATATCAGCATGTTTTGGAATAACACTATCCAGGAATATCAGCGCGTTTTTGAACAACATGGTATTCAGGAATATCAGCAGGTTTTGGAACAACACTATTCAGGAATATCAGCATGTTTATAAAGCAAGAGTTTATTCAGGAATATTTCGACCATTGTATTAAGGAACAACAGATTTTAAGGAATAAGCCAATTTCGCATTTCAGAAAGTGAAGTGCATGGTGGGACCATTTTACCCAGTACTATATACCAAGTACCTATACATGGTACCAAGTATGACAATTATTTCTATTTGAACTTCACAGTACTAGCTTCACCATCATTCAGCCGTGTACAAACCGTTTGAATTTCCGATAATAAATATAACATGGTGTTCACCAAACAAATTTAAATATTAGGTGAATGTGAAAAACATTCACTTTTCCCACATTAACAGTCATCTCGCTGCATTAATACACAGTAACAGGCATTCCCTTGGTGGCCATCTGCCAGGACCCAGCTATGAAACACGGTTACCGAGCATCAGGAGTCGAAATGCGAAATGAGCTTATTACCTAACCACCATTATTCAGATTGTCGTCGCGTATCATGATCAGGTGAATCCAGGTTACAGTTTGAACAAGTCCTGCATCTTGTCGACGACCATCTTCGCGATGGCAAGGGACGAGGTCGCGCCGGGGGAGGGAGCATTTCGCACGTGCAGCACTCGGTCGCTAAGCACCCCTGTTCCCGTGTCGAAGACAAAGTCGTCTACGAGAGAGCCATCTGGTGCCAGCGCCTGCGCACGCACTCCCGCGGGACCCCTGGGAAACACAGATATAAGACGGACCCTGTTAGTAATGCTCCAATAAATTTACAGATTAAATTTACATTAAAAATGCTCAGTCAAGCCGAAGAGACGAAAACGCCACAATGACTGCCACTAAAGGGAAATGTCAAAAGTGTCATTTGAAGACAGGTGCTCATTATAGAGGTGACCACTAACACAAGTTCAGTGCAAAATAATAATGTGTGAACAGATGCCATTGCTTGTCGATATTCAACGAGAGAGAATCTGAAAACAGCTGGAAGATTCCAAGATTAAAAAAACTGTTGTGATATCAAGAATACCTACGCAAACGCTATTACGTTAGATCAAGAGCAGAAAATAGACGGAGCACGACAAACTAAAACAAGGGAAATTACACATTTACTCTGACTTACTACTGAGAGAGACAGAGCAAGACGAGAGCGCGAGTGAAGAGAGCGAGCGCGATTGAGAAACGAACAACATCGGTGCAATACTGATGCAGTCCTCACGCTTCAGCGCTGCGGCAGCGAAATGCTCTGCAGTTGCGCAACGCTGCGCGTAGTGTTCAGACTCGTAGATACTCGTTCAGACCTCCGCCACCAGTACTTCACATGCAGCTTACTGCCAGCCCTCTATAATTACGCAGCAGGAGAGATGAAGGGCCAGAAACGTTAAGTTTCGACAGTAATACTTGCGTTGTCATACAGCTGAGTCAGCAGAAATAAGCAGAACGTAAAACTCAACTAGTGTCACACAGGGTAACACATACGAGACAATATCTCACTATCTACATTAATAGTTTCTTTGAGCTGAATCGCTCGTCATATGGTCACGTGATACATTGCAGATTGATTAAGATCCAATATCAGGAGAGAGACAATGTATTAGCAGGGACAAGCAACGAAGTGGCACGAACCTGTACATATTGCACGCCGTGTTCATAACCAGCTAAACATTATAAAAAGTTATCTAAAACGATCTATACTAGAGGAAAACATCGTTCATTTGTCGGATGCATAGCCGATCAGTTTAATACAGTGGATGAGACGAAGAGTGTCTCATTGTCGGTGAGGCGTGTTCGCAGAACGAATGTAGGCCATCTGGCCTGTGGAGTTCTAAAATGTGGAGTGAGCGCGTCGCCATAGAGCGAGCGACATTGCTCGTCTTCCACGCGGCAATTTCGCCAGTTATGGAGTACGCCGGAAACAATCAACACTGAGCGTAGCAGGAAAAACTCTCCTGTCACAGAAAACTCTCAATAGACGTATTGTAACGTATCACGTTATATCACAGTATACAGTCATGAATAGTCTCATAAACGTATTTGTAAGTATTTTTATCATTGGATACTAGTCATGAGAGTAGTCCCATAAACTATTGTAAGGGTATATCCTGTGTATCATGCGTGATACAGTCCATTAGAGTAGGTCTCAAGGTAGGAAGACTAATTGTAAGGTACTTGGTGTAATGCGATGGCTCGATAGCAGTCACGTGAGTACGTCTGTCAGAAAGCGGTATTAGTACAGGTGATTTGTGTATCAGGTGGATATCAGGAGTTCCAGTGAGGATAGGTCGCGCGATAAACGTACTTGTAAGGGTATCTGTTTTACACGTGAAACAATCATGTTGATTATTATAGTCTTACCAATGCATTAAGAGGCACTGACAGTGGTCAGTTCCGACCTGAACTCAACTTTCCACGAGTGGTGCCTTGCCTATCTTCTCCTGTTTGCGATGGACATCTAAGCAATCCGTCTCTATGGACTGGCGACTCACTGGGGCCAACACGGATGCGCATGTGTTGTCGCTCGCAGCAGTTCATCACTCGTGCTCGCTTACGGCTCTCTTGCCAGTCTCTCAGCGTTGAATCTCCGCTGTGAATCGTATTCTCCTTCCCTCGCGTAAACGCTAGCCGGCGTATCGACCGCTCAAGCCACAGCGTCTCTCCGTCATTGGCTCTCGTGTGTGCAGTGAAACCGCCGACGGAAGAGCGAAACTCCGGGATCAGGCACTGGCCCGCGCGGACGAGTTGAGCACACATGTCATGGCAGTCGCACAGAGCCAGCGAGCGACTCGGACCGTAAGACCGTGAGCTAATACGTGCAAGTAGCTGATGATGTATAGAGAGAATTTTGTATACCAATAATAGTATAGGGCATAGATGTTGAGAATTATTATATATAAATATAGTAAGTTGTATAATATATTTATATGTGTGATATATACACGTGGAACGAAAGTTCGTATTGTAATATCGAGGTTCTACAGGGTAGAGTGTCAGTGTTGTCTATTCTGTTACCTTGAGGATATGGTAGAAAGTATACATGCACCATATTTCTGGGCTTACACGGTATATACTTGGCACAAGTTCTGAATTACATGGTCAATGTCACTGAGTTACAAGGATCAGAACGTATGCCTTATTTAACTTATAGCGTAATATATTGGGATCGACCTTATCCTGATATAGCACGACGTAATTTGTGGTATGGTATATCACACTTATAGGTATATATAGTGCGCAGCTTTGACGTTACGGGTAGAGTGTTCGAGTGCTTCACAGATCCCTTTTCTCTGGCTTGAGAAAGCATGTACTCCCACCGGAATGGGCACAATACGGGGAATTTTTATCGGCAGCCAGAACATGTCGGCGAATTAGTCGAGTAGGTAGCCCACCGCATGTGACAAATACTTACACTGTGATGTCTGCATTGAAAGAGTAGCTACCAACATTGTGTGACTCATCCGAGCTCAACACTTGTCTTATAAATGGAAGAATCTGTCTTGGCATAGATGTGTGCGCGGCGATAGTTCCCAAGTGCATTAGGTGTGTATTAATATCTATGTCAGAAATTCTACCAGATCAAAATACTGCTTACAGATGAAGGTTAACTGAACACGAGGCTCGTTCGGGAGATACTGGGCAGATGAGGTACTACCTGAGTTATGTCCAGGGCTTCGGTAATAATAGATTGGACACGGTTGATTACGTCAACCACATCACGAGACAATGAATATTGGAAAGATAAACTAATAGATTCATCCTTAGTGTGTAGCGCTTATGCACGTTCTGTTTAAAGTCTTGACTGATATCTCAAACTGTGGATCCCATCTTGTAAATCAGCATAGAGAGACGAGCTATGAGGCAACTAGGCCAAGATGCCATACCGTGGTACCTGCTCATCTTTGCTCCAATAATCGTGGCACGCATGAGGAAATTCCCGTCCATTCCCACTCGGCGTTCCGCCTCTGTCTCCTGTAGTGGAGACAATTTTCTGCTACAAACTTGGGTTGCAGATGATAGTGACCGACTCCTGCTCTGGAACGGTTTGCAGCTTCTTGACTTGAATCGAGGTCTGGGGTTCGCTGTTTGCGATGTCGCTCTTGCAAACATTCCCAAAGTCATGAAATGGCCCGTGTTCGATCGACCAACAGCGCTTTTCAACCCTGGAAAATAATAGGCAACCGACGCACTGTTTTGCTTAAGCAATTCTAAAGACTGTACTAATTTGTTTCTGAGATCTAGTCCTATATATCCATATGTCTGCTAATTTGGTAGCTGGAATAGAAACTCAATCAGCTTCAATTTTGTGCTTAACCAGAAGTTCACTCTACGTCTCCATGAGCCTTGCTACATAACATTGTAGAAATAACATGTCTGAAATCTATTTCCCGGGTAAGAATCGACTGAGTCCTATCTTCTTGTCGATATTTCCGTAAGAGTTTAAAGCGTTTAATTAATAGCTTTGTGTGCTCCAAAAAAAACCGCTGACGATACTGTTCTTACTTTACAGTTTGGTTCTAAAACCTTCCCTGTATTCTATACCCCAGGACCATCGTTCCAAGTCCTGACAGCCATGGTGGCGAGACGCGCCACAGTGCATCTTAAGTCGAGGACTAAACCAAAATCTAGCCCTAGTGGATGTTCTGGGAGGAGCGTGAGCCGAGCTAGGGAAGTCAGCCTGCAATAGAAAAGCGCACAAAAGTTAGAGAGACTAACGCATTCGTAACATTGGCAAGGATGTTGAAAGTGGCA